CATCTGTGGCCAAGAGCCGGCCTGAGATGTCTCTTAGCCCATCTGGAGACTTACAATGAAGTTAAACAGATGACTCTGTAGAGCAGATCCTCAGGCAAATGGGCCAGAGACAGGGCCACAGAGCTTAGGGCTGGATGGACAGGACCGCCACACAGGCAGACACATCGCCACGCTCGGCAGTGATCCAGTCACCCCTGTTCCTGCAGAAGGAGCACCTTGGGCCCATCTGACGTCCCCAAACTCCACAGTGAGGAAGAGACCCAGGGAGGGCCTGGTGAGCTCTGTTTGGGTGGCTGTCAGTGCAGGGCGAGGCACTCCCGTGGGGTCCGTGGCCTTTATGTCTCCATGACGTGTCTGAAGCTCAGAGAGCAGAAAGCCAGGCCGATCCTGGGACTCATGAGACACCCCTCCACCCCTATGCAGTACTGCTTCCCGACGGGCTAACCGTTCCTCCTGCTGCCGCACCACAGCCAGGATACTCAGTCTGGAACAGTGTGGGCCCTGGTCAGAGCTTCATGTGTGCACCAGCTGGGAGGCAGAAACCTACCCAGGGTGTGAGCAGGTCTCTGCGGTGAGCTCTGCTGCTGGAGTGACGCGAGCACTTCTGTGCATGTTGCCTTCCTCTGTAGCAGCAATGGCAAACTCCTGCCAAACCCTGAGCCTTTCAGAAAGCTAAACTGACCCCAAAATAATACTGCAGACTCGGATGCTACTGCTCCGAGTGCACCGCCCGTCAACTGTATGTTGCAAGAATAAACGCTGTGATTGAGCCGTCATTGACTTAAAATAAAAAGGTGTTAGGACTAAACACCGAAGAATCGCTCTGTAGTCTGAAAACTCGACTAGCCATCTCTGGTGCCGAGGAGACACGTCTCCACTCGTCAGTGGGCCTGCATTCACAGTTCACGGTGGGAGAGCCTTCTCAACCGTCACAAATTCAGGTTTCTCAACTATCTATAAGGCCCACCTAAGCTGTGTCCCAGGTAACTGCACACCTGGGACAGGGGTCTCCAGGTACCACCAGCGCGGGTACCGTGCGTTGGAACGAGGGACACCAGAGGGCTGTTTCCCAGGGCTCGCTCTGGAGACACGGGCTGGACCTGACAGCTCTTCCACAGAACGCCGCCTCTGCGGTTTGTAGGGCGTGCTGACTGCTCGGCAGCTCAGCGCACGTCTCCCAAGTCCCAGAAAGAGGTGGCCACTACTACGTGCCTGCACTCCTGGTGTAAAACTTGCCTCTTTCTAAACATTTCCATATAAATAGGCACACTGGAAGCTGGCACCCTCTGGAAGGGAGGGATGTCCCCGTGCAGAAAACCTCTTTCCTCAGAGCGTTCTGCCTTGCATTTTTCATATTCCGATCCCCCATTACCATAGGGATATGTAAGAAGGAAGTGAACTTGCAGCCTGGTTTTCTATTAACCTATTGATGAAATAATCAATTTTAAATGTGTAACATGTCCTGCTTTTTTCGTCCTTCGAACAAATGGATGTTCCCTGGCTGATCCCGAGGTCCCGATGTGTGCATCCGTCTCCGGGGCATTGATTGCTCTGAGTCCCCTTGTTGAGAAGCTTCTCCAGGAGGAAATACAACCACATAATGACCGACGGCGTCTCAGGTAGCGTCTGGGCTGTTGCCCTTCTGAGGATGCCAACCTGACACCTGCTCCCTCCCTCCCGCCACACCCTGGCAGGCTCCCAGCCTCGGAAACAGTGATGCTTTTTCAAATTTAAATTTAAAGTTGTTTTATTTTTTTCAGGAGAGAGAAAGGGAGAAGACAGATAGACAGACAGACACGCCCTTAGCAGGCTCTTGGGCAGCTTTTGTAGACGGCCAGGATCACAGACACCACAGGCCTGGCATATACGGGTTTACCTGGGAGCCGAGCCCTGTCCTTCACGTGGGTTCCAGCATCACGGAGCAAGTCCTACTGCTGCGCTTCTGTGGCTGAGCCAAGGAGGTGTTTTTTTTCCCTTTTTTTCCTTCTTCTTCTTCTTCTTCTTTTTTTTTTTTTGTGCCATTGAGTGCATGCACTCAACAGAGAGAGAGAGGGAAAGTGAGAAATCACCGCCCAGAGGGGATGGCCATACCACAATCCCTTCTCCTCCACTGTCCTCGGGATCTTGGGCACACTTGCACATGTGCCTGGAGTGATTTTCAAGCTGCAATCTGGGACTCCAACCACGGAGTCGGCCATGTGGAATCCAAAGCTTTAACCTCCAGGTCACCTGCTGGCCCAAGGTGATTCTTGAGGACCTCGTGGGGACTAGCTCAAAAGACTAAATTTTCTGGGCTATTTCTATTTTGATAAAAACTTTACTTTTTTTTTTTTTTAAATTTCAGAAATATAGTTCCTTCCTTTTCAGTGTGGGCCAACTTATTTGGATTTTACTGTAATGTCATTTTTCAAGAGATCTATTATTTTAGTATCAAAATTTCACCTGTTCTTGAGTAGAAAGGTGGCAGGATTGCCCATCCTGCTTTCTCACTTCCTAGACAGGGAGTGGTCGCTCCTGTGAAGAGGCTCCCCCTGCAGCTATTTCAAATGGCATGACGCCTCCAAGGTTTAAAAGCTCAGATACAAACCTCAGAGGACATGGACTCCCCGGACACAGAGCTGACACCTGGTTCATCTAGCAGTTGGCCTGAGCCCAGGCAGCGAGCTGAGCTCTTCACACTGCAGCCTGCCAAGTTCACGGAACTTTCTGGTCTCTGATCTGGGTGGACAGAAGACTCCGCGAGCTGGGAAAGAGGAAGCCATCAGGACAGCACTGTCCCCGCAGTGGTGCTGAAGTGGACTGCGGCCACGAGACTGCTATGTGGACGTTACGGCACGAGGCACAAAGGGGGACAGAGCCCGTGGGTGAGACTGAAACAGAGAGGGATGCGAAACTCACCGTCATCCGGGCTGGGATGTATTTCCCAAGGATTAAAAAGACCAAACTTTGCAAAACTGAAATTAAGTCAGCACAGACTGCCCTCCAGACTCCAAGAAGGGGACACTTACTGCCTCGTAAGGTAACAGTACCGGCCATTCTCACCAACACCCGGGAGCCTTCCCGCCTGTGCACTGACGCCGTTAGTACACCGAGTCTGTAAGGCTCCCTTTGTTGTAGAGAGAGCGCTGTGGCATCTTGTGGGGTGGCTGTTTATGTTCAGTTAAGTATTTATTTCCGCAGTACTGGGTCACCAGGCTGGCAGGTGGGTGGACGTCACCCAGCTTGTGGGGATCTTCACTGTGGCACCTCTGGAGCCATGTATCCACAGAAGAAGGCTGATAGAAACTTCGGTTCACAGAACGTCTCTGTGAGGCGCCTGATGGTTACAAACAACGCGTTCTGTGTCTGGATGACAAATGAGGGATGGCGTGATACACCCGACCCCTCGTAATTACTAACAGTCGTGGTCTTTGCAAAGAGAGGGAGAGGTGCAAATGACAGCTTTCTGCTGAGCCGGAGCGGCTGAAGCCATTTAGATTACGACCTACTTCCTTATTTTTTGGAAGCTCCAGCTTTGCATAGAGGTTTATGTGATCACGCAGATTCTTAATTTTTATTTTAA